CCAAGCAGGAGGTGCTTATGTTATTGGGCATGCCTTTGAAGGAATTAAGGTATTTCTCATGGTCACTCTGGTTAGTTCTCGTGAGAACATTGTTATAAAAGTCTGAGCCTGGTTCCTCTCACACATGCTCACATTACTGTCATCTGCCATGAGGCGACACAGGCCAGGATGTCTTTCACCAGAGCCTGCATCTTGCTATTTGGACTTTCAGCATGCCAACCTCTCTTTATAGAGTTAGCCTGCCTCAGGTATTTCCTTATAGTAATAAAAAAATGGGCTAATATACAGGTTATACAGCCTGGGTTTAGCTATATGGCTAGTAGGCATAAAAGACCCCTCAGTGAATTTTTACCTGGACTCAGAGTTACCTTGATAATGTACCCTGTCCCAAGTGACTAAGGATAGACTGTAGGGGGCTATGTCTGGAAATCTCAGACCCCTCTATGGTTATCTGTGCTCTCTGTCCTGCTGTATCAAATCCTTTTCCTATTTTAAACCTTATACAAATACACACTGTGGAATCTCTTAGGGCTCATGATAATCTTCAATTACAGGGGCAAGAGCCAAGCCTTGTTTTGTATTCCATTTTCTCCTGATGCTCCAGTATTTGATACATGGTAAATTGGGATCACCAGAGAAAGAGAAATTACTATGAGTTCTTCCAGAAGGGGAGTTGGTTACACAGGTGATAGAAGGGGCTAAGAGGCAACCAGAGCATTGTGAAGAAACCCAGATACTAAGAACAAAGGATGCTGGTATCATCCACAGGAAGGATAGATGAGAGAATGGGTGGTGCTAACAGAACTCAGAGACCTGGGCCCCAGCTAGAAGCTGAAACCATGGCAGGACTGTCAGGTGGGAGCAGAGAGTGGGACAGGAAGACAGACACAGCTATTGCCCAGGATGCTGATGAAGGGAAAAAGGAAACAGGAGAACTAGCCTGGCTTCTCCTCTCCTTCCTCTACTTTTCTGTTTCTCACAGTGCCTCTGCGTTCTGGACCCAGCTGGAAGCCAGATGACGAGAAATCTGGCAAGTATAACCTGGATCTATCACTGCCCTGTGGTGAAAAGAGCAAGGAGAAGACTGAGACTTTCACTACCAGTGCTGAAAACTCTGAGTAAAACCAACCTGTGTGCAGAAATAATACAGGCTGATGATTGATTCAGCATTCTACCAGTAAAAGCCTTTGATAATCTGGAAGGTCTAGATCTATACCAGAAATCACATAGAAGAAAGGTCCCTACCTGGGACAGAATCTAAACATATACCATCAGCCTTTTATAATGGCTCTGTTGCTTGATTAGTCCCCCTTCTGGCTGAAGCTTTCTTTCTTTAGTTATGCAAAGTGTGACTTTAGCTGGGCATGGTGATTCATGCCTATAATCCCAGAAACTTAGGTGGCAGAGATCTGCAGGATCAGTTCAAGCTCAGCCTAAGCAAAAAGCTTGCAAGACCCTCCATATCTCAACAAACAAGTGGAACAGGGTGCTACATATCTGTAATCTCAGTCATGCAGGAGGAAAGTAGGAGGAGAGCAATCTGAGACTGGCCCTGGACAAAAAGTGTAAGACCCTGCCAAAAACATAACCAAGGCAAAATGTGCTGGGAGTATGGCTCAAGTGATAAGAGCACCTGCCCAGCAATCTTGAGGTCCTGAGATCAAAATCCCTATACCACCAAAAATTAAATAAAACCAAAAAAAAAAAAAAATAAAGTGTTGCTTTAGCTTGGGATCCATTCAAACATATCAATAGTACTTTGTCTCCTGCTCATTTTATTCTTTCTATGTTGATTTCATTATTTAATTTTTAAGAGAGAATAGTTGTTTCTCTTACTTCCCACTCCCTTAGTGGAGCCTCAATAACAAAGACCATACTGTTCTTCCAGGTTTAGAGAAACATGGATATTTCAAATCATCTTATAAAAGATCACCAACCCTATGGAAAACAAAACAGCTTTTGTGTATTTCTTTCTCTTCAAAGCCTTACTTACTAAAGATCAAAAGGAAATATCATTACTAATTCTGAATAAACACTCACATACACACACATCACACATCACCCAAAACTCAACTATTTATCTAGGATGAAAGAAATCTCCAGTGAGTTACAGAATGTGAACAGGACAGTCAGCCCTTCCTTGTTACCCAGATAAAAGTCATGATGCAGTAATAACTGCCCTAAGGGTCCAAGAATGTTAGCAGGAGCTATTTGATCCGCACAAGGACCCCTTATCTCCCATCTCCCTTCATTTGTAAGTTTTCCCAGAATCTGTTGTTAAAAGAAATAAATCCATAAAAATATATATTCTGTTCAAATAGTTAAAAAATAATAACACAGTTCAGATGGCTGTTTATTTCAGATTTATGTCTTTGCATAAAAGGCATCTGAATTTTTTTCTTTCCCTCTTTTTATTCCACTCTCCTTAAGCACACACGACAGGCTGAGTAGTTACCTTGGGCGCCTTCAAGGCTACATAGTGAATTTCTAAATTGAAAATTCAGTAAAAGTTGCTAAACTAACTTTGTTGGGTTGATTCATTTGTACCAATTAGACATGATCTAATCCTGAGCATGGGGCAGAATGCCTTTTTCTGTCTCTCATGCTTAAAATTTTCAATGATTAGTAATGAATGCTCAAGTCAAGTTTGAAGGAACAGAAAGGGCCAGTGAGATTTGTGAATTGCTTTCTCCATCTAAATGGCTGCCGAATCAGTTCTCATTGCTCTTCTTTCTTGTTCTTCATCTTTAGTCTGGAAGTTTGAAAAAGTCATTTTGTTTTTAAAGAGAAAGCATGCTATGCAAAATGATAAAGTATCACCTAAAATTTTCACTCAAACTTTGCACCCAAAAGTGTGTCATTTGCATCAGGTGCTCTTGGTGCCTTACTCAGATTCCCTTTGCCAGCTAGCCCTCCCCTGCTCAGCTCTGTGGTCAGTGGCTCACAGGCTACCCTTCCCTTTCTTAGAGCCATCTTGCCTCTTAGCCAGGTGAAACTTGTGAGGTTTCTTTCAGTATCAGGAGCTCGCTAGTGACCAATGCAGGAGGCAATAGCCCAGCCTCCTTCCCTCTGGACAGGACAAGCTCTTGGTACAATTTAGCCTCCAAAGCACCCCATGCAACAAGACCAAAGCTAACACTTTCTTGAGATCACACTTTCCCTTAATTTTTTCCCCTGCTTGATCCTGTTTTCCACACTCACACACAAATTTCTCCTGGGAACCTTCTCTCCATAAGTTACTTGCACTAGAGACCCTGTCTCAGTCTCTATTTTCAGGGAACTATTTTAATTACCTATTTAGACTCTAGAGGAAGTTAGGTTCTAGAGACCAAACACATAAATAAACTTTTGGACCACTATCCACCAGAATTACCACTATTACAATTAAAAACTATTTCTCATAGCAAATAGGTTTTGTTCATCTTTCTTGGATTAACAAATCAGATAAATATATAGATAAAATGTCTATATCCTTAAATCACTTAAACTAACACTCTAGAAGTGAATCTGTTTCAGCAAACCTTTATTGTTCTGATTTTCCAGGTCTGAGTCCTTACCCCTTTGCCTTTTGCTTGAGACTGAAAGATAGTTTCAAACAAACCACTTCTTGAATATGCAGAGACACAGAACTAGTTGCCCTAGAGATGCTGATTCATTAGATTCTTACAGGTGTATTAGGGGTATATAATTTTTATTCCCACTTTAAAAATGATGAAGTTGGCTTTCTTAAATTCTCCTTTCTCCCTTGCCCAATGCCACACTTGCTTTAAGGAAAAGTCACATAGATTATCTCTAGTCATTCTCATGTTTGTTTGGTTGGTTTTTTTGACATCTGAAAATTTCATCAAAATTATCAGCTTTATGTGAATACCATTTGAACTGCCTCTCAATTTCAAAGACTGTGAGGGAAAATAAATTCTCCAGACAAGAAAATATTTACTTTGTAGTAAACAGAAGATAAAGGAATTTACTAGCTAGAGGGAATTATTTCTAGAGGACTGGGAATCATAGCGGATGGTATTACCATAGGTTTTTGTCCTACAGCAATTTCAGCCCTTCCAAAAGCAACCTGGAGACGAGGATTTAGGTGTATTTGGGAGCTAATCTCAATAAAGACCGTAAAGAGAAAGGAGAAGTGAGACAGGGTAAGGAAAGATGCAATGAAGGGTGTGTTATCAAACACATTTTGCTATGGTGGGCACACTTTAACCTTCACTTCACAGGAGAGCTCTAGGGACCAGTAAGAATGTACACTTCACAGGGAGCTGGGTCTCTTCAGCTACTGACTGAGAATTGCTTCCAAGGGATGCTTCCTGCTGTACAAGTTTGAGTCCTCTGGCACCTGGAAGTTGTACCTATAATCCTAGGGTAGAGATAAAATGGCTAGCATGCACTCAATCTCTCCAGTTTACTTGATCCAAGGTATCTTAGACACATTTATAATGGCCCATGAGAGACAAATGACTTCCTTAAAACACTACATACCAATTCTTTTTCCTAATATTAAATTGGTTTTTCATCAGTTTCCACTCAAATTGTTTTATTGTCTGGGATTGAACCCAAGGCTTTGTGCATGGTAGGGAAACACTCTAGCACTGAGCTTGGTTTTTTGAGACAAGATCTCTTGCTATGTATCTCAAGCTGGCCTTGAACTCACTATGTAGTTCATGTTGGTCTCAAACTTCTGATCCTCTTGCCTCAGCCTCCCAGTGCTATTATAGGCATGCATCATGACAACTGATGTTTTTGTTCTTTTTTAATATTTTTAATTAATTTTTGGTGGTGCTAGGGATTGAACCAGCAAAACCAAACAAACCTTCTATACTATGAATTGCTAAAACTGACATTGACTTTCTAATATTATTTGTTTTATATCTAGTAAATTTTTTGACAATGCTTATACCCAAATGCCAGGTATTCTACCACATTCTTAATAAGGGATGGAGTTTTTATCCCTACTCATGTGTCATTCATTGCAAAATGAAATATATCTTTACTCTACAGATCAGAATATTTATAATTGTTAAGGCAAAAACAGATATTTGGTAACAAATTTCTTGGATGGAGATATCTTCTTTATGCAAAGTTTGGAACCTGGGCCTCAAGGCATTTACCCTAAAAAGCAACTGCTGTGATTTAGCTCTTGAAGGAAGCCTCCAATGCTTGAGCCTTCTCCATGATGTTCTTCTGAAATGGCATCATGAAATCCTCAAAGTCCACCTCATAAGTAAACCTCTCCCGTCGCAATTCTCTCTTCCTGATGAGCTCTGCTGTTGTGGCTTCAGGACTCCAACTCTTAAATAAACAGCCAAACAGGGAGCAATGTTGAGTATGATTACCAGTGAATATTCTGGTATCAGGACAATTTTCAATATATAATTTTAATTAAGTAATGCTAGGCAAGCATTCTACCACTGACTTATACCTCTGGCCTAAGAAACTTAAACTTGCAATAATCCAACTTACTTCTAAATGTATTTTACTGTTTTTTCCTTTGTCTACATCAGTGGTTATGTGAGCATCACTACTTCTGACGCGGCTATCTGGGACCTGAGCTCAGAAATGTTCTTTAGTTGCTTTTCCAGCCAGTGACCCTCAGGTCAGCTGCTATTCATTTTTAGGGTATTAAAACAGGGAAGCAAAGGATTTGGAAGATTGTCTGTAACTGTTACCTTTGTCTTAATGTGGAAGTCAAAATTATTTTCATAACATAAGGCAGGAGGAGCTTATTCAGAATGGTTTGATGAACATTGTAAAGAAACTCTTTTCTTTCCAAAGTGTCTCCACTTCTTTAGCTGTAGATTTTTAGATGACTATTGAATTTATATATACAATCTTGATTAGTATGAAATTGCAAAGTGAGGTGGTAGTAATAAGCAGGAGGAAGAAGGGTTGGCTCTGAGAACTATCAAAATAAAGTATCTATAGAAATTGATAACTAAATGGCTATAAGGGAAGTAATTGATCAAAGAAGACTTCAGTCTTTTAAGGAAAAGTTAAATATTGGTATAAAGGGAATCAGAGTGGCAGAACTGGCAAAAGTACTCGCACAAGTAGTAACTATGAAAGATTACCTTTGGACATGCATTTGGATGATCTGCCTAGAAGACATTTGAAAAATGACATTATGAGCTCTTCCATGCTATGCAGATCTTCCCAAAATACTTACCCTTCGTGGTACAAATGTGATATCCACTTTCTTGGTGTAACCACTGGTAATCAATGAATTGAGATAAACCACATTATCCTTGTGTACTTCCTTTTCTTCTGATATAGGTGGTACAGCATAAATTGATGAAAGTAGTTCCTGGAAACAAGATAAAAAAAAAGTTGCTAAAGCCAGCATTCACTTTCTAATATTATTTGTTCTGCATCTTACTCTGAAACCAGAAAAAAAAAATGTCATTATGAAAGCTTTACTTTGAAATAAAACATAGTATTATTATAACTTTGGGTGTGGAAAGGTAGTTTGCCTTGTTTAACTCTAGTTAGTGGTAGCAGTGACAGATCATGTAAGCCTTCAAATATCCGTTGTTGACCCGTGGCAATTCATTAGCCAGAGGATGGACTCCTATGGTGCCTCTAGTATAAGCTTCAGATGATTTTTTCCTTCTTTACCTCTTGCTGTTCTGACTATCACCCCTCCCATGCTTATAACTCTCTATTTGCTTACAATCCCTTTATCAAACTACTTCCTACCACCTACATTTCCCCAACTCTTACCAATTGGATGACATTTGAGCTTTTCCTTTTTGACTTTTACCCTTGTTCTCTGTCTTGCAAGGATTTCCAGTAAACCTTCTGCTTCCCTGAAAGAAACTTCCAGCCTAGAAATGCTCTTAGGGGCTACCTGCTAATGCCAATATCTTGATGTCTCAAATTCCCACGGGCAACAACCTCAACTTTCTGCTGGTGGTTCAGAGGTATCTAAACCACTCTAGATTATCAAGAACAGTCAACTTGGTACATTTAAAACCTTCTAGAGTCATTTTGTAGAATATCAAAGTTACAAGAGTTCAGTGTAATTCATTAAAATTCCCTTGGTGTTGAAGGAAACAAGATGGGCAATGAAAGAATATGGGACCAAAATAAAGGGAAATCATGCTTTATGTCCTCATTGGATTGTCCTCTCCTTCCTGTTTTGGCCATCTCATTAAATCTATGTAATTTAAGAGCAAATATATACATGTCCAATACCAGTTCTTTTTTTTCAACATTCTAATGTTATTTAGCTGAACCAACCTGGGTTCTGTGTGAATTCTATTTTCAATGAGCACTTTTTAGCATCTTCAGTAATAGGAACTTTCTTGCTAGGTATTTCTTTAAAAGTGCAGAATAAAGTATACATTGTATGTTATTTTGCCAACATTATATAATGAGATGAAATAATGCTCCTGCCCCCCCCCCATTTTTAAGGAGTCACAGTTACTAATGGGTAGTCAACCTCATTATTTTTTGTTACCTCTTCTTTCTTAATTTCAGGGCCTTCAGTCTTCGTTTTAGTAGGCTTGCTTTTCATTTTTTGGCTGTCTGCTGGTTTTGGCATGTTATCTAGCTTTTCTTTAATCATATCAATTATTCTATAGTCAGCATATGCCTTTGCAACATCCATGGCACTATGCCCTATGTAAAAATATAAACACAAGCTCAGAGTTATAATAAATAAACTTAATGATTATCTATAAGCAAGGTGATTATTAAAGCCAATGATAATGTGTAAGTTCATAGAGCTAGATCAGATTTTTCAATGGTGGGCCTAACTCTATAATTTAAAGTGCCATTTATTGCCATAAAAATTCTTTCAAAAATTGTTTTAGTCACATTTCTTAAAAAATGGAATATACTAGATTACATTTTGAATATCCAGCTGATGGTTCTCTACCCACCTTGTGCACCTTATGTTCCCCTTTCTGTGAGGTAAGGAAGTAAATTCCAAAAGGCCTCTGGAAGCCTGTGCCCACAAGTAATCTAAGCGGGTGATTGGGTATTATGTTACCTGTAATATCATCAGGCAGGTCTGGTATAATGCTACTAGTGACTCAGGGGCACCTGGAGGCAGCCAGAGGTATGAATGTTGCCTCAGAACCAAAGGAAGCAATAGCTTCCAATTAAGAAAATGACACCTCCAAATAAATCGTTCAAATATTTATTCTAACGATTTTTATTCTGGTATGGTACTTATGACAGTGCAGAATATTTACTTCCTAGAGGCAAGGGAAGTCTCAATTCAGGAATTGCTTTGTCCATCTTTAAGAAGATCCTAAAGTCTAAAGAGTCTCTAGACAGACAATTAGTAAGAATTACAAAAGTTATAACAGTGATAACTTGAGGTGTCATCTACAAATTGGTGGGAGGCCAAACCAAATAACTGTAAGTACTGATCCACCTTGGAATAACTATAGTTACTAGGCATTTAGACATTTTTATAACAATTTAATAGAATTTTCTGTCATTTGAATCTAATAAAAAGAAGTCTGAGTTTGTATTTTATGTTTCTTTCCATTTCATCTTCTCAATAAAACACTTTCATTATATTCTATAAAACCACCAGCCTATGTGAGATTGCAAATAAAGAACTGGTCCTTTAACACCAATGATTTGAGAAGCACTGGATATAAGACAAACTTCCATAACATTTAACTAAGGCTTGTGTTTCACCAGTAACTCAGGGGAAAACGTGGTCCTATAAGAACAGAGTTAAAGGAGTTCGGAATTTAACATGAATTCATCCTTTCGAACCCCAACTATCAATGATATGAACACACACCTTTTCTATTTTCCAGCTGGAATTTAGCACCATTATCAAGTAGGTATTTTACAGTATCTAGCCTGCAACTTTCAATGGCTCTACTTAAAGGAGTTGAGTTGTTGATTGAAAGTGCATCTATTACAGCTCCAGATTTAACAAGAAGCTCCACAATGTCTTGCTGGCCTGCATGGCAAGCAAAATGAAGCGGAGTCCACAGAAGATTATCTGTTGCATTAGCATTTGCCCTGTAAAATAAGAAAGACACACAAACTAAAAATTTCAGTTGTTTCAAGCACAGGAAGCTAAAAAGGCAAGGTACAATTTCATATACTTTAATGAAGCTGTCAAACTGTAACCCAGAAGAGCGCTAAAATAATCTCTGACCATGCTTTTTCTTATAATCTCTTTGAGATTTAACTTTCTCTGTGGATATATCCATTTTGTTTAGCTTTAAAAGGTGCTTTGATCCTAGCAATCACATTTTCTTTCTTTCTTTTTTTTTTTTTTTGTTGCTAACCCATTTATTTCTCCTGATCAGGAGGGTGGAGGACCTGGGGGGTGGACCAGCACAGAACACTGCATGTGGAAGTGCCTGGGGCAGGACCATGCTGGCCAGTCAATCCAGTGCAGCCTTCAGGTGAGAGTGGGGCCATTCCAGCCCATGTTGGCCACATTCATGTGAGATCACAATTTTTGCAAAGGTAAAAATCAAAGAAAATTATAAAACTGAATCCAATGAAGATAGAAGCTGAGAAAAAAAAAGTTATTCTACTTTGTGTCTTTCTCTGCATATTCTTTTCTTAAAAAAACTTCATTATTACAAATCTAAGCATTATGATATTTAAAATTTTAGTCTGTATTAGAATTTCACTATCTAAAAATTCAAATTCTCTTTCATCACTTCATATTTCTTTGATAATATATGAATCTGAGTTTTTGACATTAAACATATCTCTTGTCAAGTATGCAATGCCTGGGCCAGTAAGTACTTTATATATTTTAGCTCATTGAATCTCTAGTAAATTCAGTGCTGAGTCCCACTAGAGCCCATTACACACACAAGAACTATTAAGATACTTATCCCAGGTTAAACAACCATAACAGAAGAAGGAATTAAACCTGACCAAATATTTTAGTTTTAAAAGCTAAATTAAAATGTCATGTTTTGATATTTTAAAGACATTTACAAGTGAACCAAGGCAAAGACTGCCCTTTCTAGAGGAGAACAGTGGGCCACAGAGGGACTGAAGCATGTCCTTAGTCATTAAGGCCAGAATCACACTTGTTTGGATTTGTTAGGATTCCCCCAAAACAAAAGGCAGATTTAAAAGTGATTCTATACCATCCAGACAAGACTCTAGGCCAAACTGAGTCCTCCTGTCCCTGACAGGAAGCCATCAATACCCAATCAGAAGACTTTCCTCTGCCCCAGAGTGAAAACTTGGCCTTCATTTTGCATCACTGTCTCTTTGAGCACACATGCCTGTGTTCCCATTAGCCTGGATTCTCATATAAGATAATTTATTGCAGACTTCGTGATGAAGCACTGTCCTATACCACTAAAATTCTGGAGCTGAACGTTTCTTATGGCCTTCGTTCACTTCCCTAAAATGTGAAGACTAGTAAAAATTTAAACTTCACTCAACCAAAACACGTACCCTTTTTCAAGAAGAAACTTGACCACGTCTATGTTTCCACTTGTACATGCTGTCATCAGTGGTGTCTTATAATAATTATCCTTCATATCCACAGGTATTCCTGACTCAAAAGCCTTTTTCAGAGATGCCAGGTCTCCAGCCTTAGTGATAAAATTAATATTTGAAAATGCCTTCCCTGGATCATCAATGTACCAAGCAGAGTCATCCTGAAGGGGATGTTCTGGAGGGTGGTCCCGACTAAACCTGCTGCAATCCGTCACATTCTGATAGGTTTCAATCATGTAATAGGGTGGCCCACCATCCGGCCTGCGTGGAAACACATGCTCTGGAATAACACAGATTGGCATGGGTAAAACAAACTTGACTTTCTTTCCCTTTTTGCCCATCCCTCTTTTCTTTTTCTTAGGCCCATAGGATCCCAAGACAAAAGACTTGCTTAAGTATTTGGTTCCTTTAAAGAAATCATTAATGTTGACCCCGCTTCCCCGGAGTCTCTCATGAAGTTGAGCTATGTAAGCCAGCTGGTCTGAGTTTGCAAAACTTTGCCTCTCCTCCAGAGTCATCACGAAGTCATCCTTGGTGACCGAGCCATCACCCCTGTCCACAAATGAAAAGGCTTCCCGAAGGAAAGCCTCATTTTCTATGGACCAGTCATGTAGTCTGAGGGCCCAGGGTGGGTTAGGATTTTTGGCTCCTGGCTTGGCCAGTTTATTAGCAATTCGCTCTGCTCGTCGGATTTCTTTGCTTGCTGCTTTGAAGCCGCCTTCTTTTGCCACAGCTCTGGGTGTTTTATGTTCTAAATTTTTCCATTTCAGGTCACATCCTAAGACAAGAAGAATTGGCATTAGGAATGGTGCCATGGCATCTTCATTGCCCTGAAATTGACACTTATCTGGTTGCTTTTTAAATTTTAAGTAATTTTTCAAGTTTGTCTTAAAATTATTTGTATATAGCGAAGAGCACATTTAGCTATCATAAATAGAAAGTTAGACTGTAAGTTTTTCCTGTGGGATTTACTTTGATAAATCAATTTATATCTGCTCACATTTATCCCCACAGGTGGGTAAACAGATATTTTCGATAAAATATAGATATTTCAAACAAATATCAAGTGGAATATGTGGTGAGGAAATTTTTTGCCAACAGGAAAAATAATGAGGGCACAGTGGAATTTGGAAAAAGAATCTGGATTCAAATAGCTTCATAGGACCTCATCAGCTCAGAATGGATGCCTGCTTCTTTTTAAATGATTTAGACTGGAAGTCTGTGCACAATCTTAAATATATTTTGTTTGTTTTCTCCACTAAATTAAGTTAATTCATACTAATCTGCTGTTTTGTAGCAAGGTCATGTGAACAACCTTAGCAGAGGAAAAATGAATTTGTTAATTAAATCCTAGGATTTCAGCCTTATATTTGTGTGTAAGTTAGACATTTAAATTAATTTTCCTTTTGGCCTCTTCCTTAGACCAACTTATTTGTAAATATTCTTCAAAGATCTAAAATTTTCTGAATTCATCAGAGAATATTTCATTCTACCAAAGGAGGCTGTGTTAACTATAGTGTGTCTTGAAACATTAAAAATCCATTATGGATATAAAGAAGTCACACCATGATGATGCTTTTTGGTGTTGTCAATCTTGAAGAAACCTTTATTGTTGTTTTGCCAACATCACATGATCAAAAATAATTGGTACTCAATCTGTATCTTTAGCAATCAAGGCGTAGGTATATGCAAAAATAAATATGTCCCTCCAATATTTTATTCCTTGTCAAAAACATGATTGCCTTGATGTAACAGTAGAATTCATGATATTATTCTACTTGTGTAGAAGAATAACAATGTTTTTCAATATTAATATTTTATTGGTATTTGGTATTGTCAAAGATTACATCTATGTTCAAAGGCTGATACTTGTACTAGTGGTAGAAAAACTTAAGAAATGCATTGTGACAATAATGATTCTAAAAGCTCTATACTGGATAAGTTTTAAGAACAGTGACTTATTGGGAAAGGGACTCTGACAATGGTCTCAATAGTAGAATTCCACAGCAGAGTAATGCCATAGCATAACTGTGTAATAATTCCAAGTTTACTGGTTTTACTTAACTATTTTGCTTATTCCAGATGTCTGAGGTTTTAAATCTACATCCTCTCAAGCCACTACTTTTATGTTCACCCAGCAGTAAGAGTCAAAAGATTCAGACTTCCTTTATCTTGCCCTTTTCTGCTGCCAATTCCCCCAGTTAGAAACCTTTTCATGGATAAAAGACTCCAACATCCCAGCTGATCTGTAAGATCTGAAAGACATCTACTTTTCTCTCTTTTTGGCTTGGGAGTTTTTGTCTCCTCCTGTATGATAACAGTTAACCTCCTTACCTGAAGGTTCTACATTCATGGATCCAATCAATCAAGGACAGAAAATAGTTGAAAAAAAATGACATCTGTTCTGAACTATACATTTTTCCCTTGTCATTCATTATTCTCTAGATGATAGAGAGTAACAACTATTTCCACATCATGAGCATTGTATCAGGTACTATAAGTAATCTAGAGATGACTTAAAGTATATGAAAGGATGTGTTCCTGAAGGAACTTCAGCATACTCAGATTTTCATATTTTCCAGGGTCCTAGAGACAGTTCCCTGACCCCCCAAACTAAGGGATGATGGTAGTAAATACAATTCCACTCATTCCCTTTGTGGTTTATGTTCTTCAATGATAAAGATGCTCAACTTTCTGCTGGATGATGCTGTAGAACACAGGGAACCAAAAGCCCTGGAAAAGGATAACTCTCATGAGACATCCCAAGAGACTCTCCCAACCCCCTTCTCTGCATTTAGATGTGACTCCCACTGCTTAAAGGAGGTTATAAATTGCTCCAGCAGCAAAACCAGGAACTGAAAGAGGAACGAATTGGAGATACTTCAATGTGGGAAAAGAATCCATCCAATACAAATGCTCTACATTTGTCTCCTCTTTTATGAGGAGATTAAACCCAAGGAATTTATTCAAAGGTGAGTATTTCATTGCTAGTGACTTCTGGATGCTCTGATCTCCTTAGATCTGAGATTCTAAAGATGAAAATGTAGCTTATAATACTTCTGCTGTGGAATTGGGTCACCCATGTAGGATCTGGTGACATGTTTATACTTCCAAACATGCTACAAAACTTGGAATGTTTTCAGAGATTTGCTTACAATACATACAGTCTTATGATTCTTCTAGAAAGATGGATTTTTTTCTGCCTCACTAGGCAAGGCCTTTTTGTGGGGCCCTTTGCTTCTCAATGTGCTTTCTATGAGTTATCCTTGGAATACATAAATAATGGGAGTGTATGTGTGGTAGTATTTCTCCCAATAAGAAATAAGTCAACATGTTAAAGTTGAAGCTTGACTCAACCTGGGAAGATTTTTTTTTTAGAAAGAGACAATGTTAAAAGTAAAATGTCAAAATAAATTGCCCATAGTGATAGATTTAAAAACAAGACCAATAAGATAGTTTGAGAGGGCAAAATATTGCATTTGATATACTTTTGTTAAAGAGTTTCTTAGTGAGGGGGATATGGGTTTATAAAAGTAAAAACGGATCAATTATTATACTCTTAGTTACATGAATCTGTTAGTCTTATTTATATTAATGGTTACAGTAGAGCATATTTAGGTCCTAGTGACTTCTAAATTTGTCTGCCTGTGTGGAGGACAGAAAAGCAAACGCTGTGCTCTATTATAGGGTTCTTGGGCTTTAACATTTTGCCTATTTCTCATGAACTGGAACAAAACATAAAAGTTAGTAAAATGCAACTCCATCTCTAATAAAGAGATAGACTTTTGATGTACATCAAATTAGAAGATAACCAAAGTCAAATAAATCTATTTTTAAACTTAACTAGTTAATATTTTCATTTAAAGGAACTCATTAAGCATACTATTCATAATATAATTATTAACATATTTCTAAGTTAATAATTACTTAAGAGCTACAGGAAAATCTACAACAATAAATATTACTTACATTTCAAATTTCCCATAACTTTCATTTTATTTCATGTTTCCCCCAAATTATTTTCCCCTATAACTTCAAGATACCCAGAAAGGTTTTCTTTGTGTTTGGCACAATAGAATATTTTTAAGTAAAATAATTAAAAATTCAGACTAAAAGAAATGATTTTCAATGTTTGTCTCCCTTTAGATTGAAGTATACTTTTAAAGTAAGGATTTTAATCAAGCATAAACATTTCCATAGTTGGTCAATTGATGAGCAGTTCCTCTTAGATTTTTACTAATAACCTTAAAAATGAATAAGGTGGTTTTTCATTATTTTAGTGACTAGATTATGATTCAATGGAAGATAGTATAAGGAAATCATTTCAGTTTTCCTTCTACATATAAGTGAGGTTTTGCTATCGAAAAAGATAAGCAACTGAGAAGTGACAGACCCAAATTCTCTGCTCATGCATGACATAGGTAAGCCATGAACATTTTAAGCACAAAACTGCCTACAATTTTACCTCGCTGAGCTATATATTTACAGCAATCTGCAAAACCACCCATGGCAGCATAATGAAGTGGTGTGTTCCCATTCATTGCAATCAGTCCCATGTCTCCATCATAGGCAAAAAGAAGCTTCAATATCTGCAAAATAAATAGTAGATACTGTAGAGGAATAGGTATGCATGTTTACTGGAGGAAAATTGACACCTGGACCTGTGCTAGCCAGTATGCTATCAGCCACATATAACTACTAAGCTTCAAAAGGAAATGTAATTAAATTTTATAAATAAAACTTTGATCCCTTAGTTTTACTAGCCACATTTAAAGTGCTCAAAAGTCCCATGGTTACTGTGTAATCGCAGCTCAGACACTGAATAGTTCCATCACCACCAAAAGTTCTATTAAACAGAATTGACCTACAGTGTAGAAAATTCTACACTCAGCTGGGGCACTGTCATTTTGCTAAGTGTAGGCAATTTAAGAAAGCATCAGAGTATGGCAAACAATATCAGGGAACAAATTCTTTACCCAATTCAACTCCAATTGTTAGATGTATTTTTTACTATAGTGAAGAGACTCCATGACAAAAACACAGATAACTATGTTAAAACTCAAAGAAAATTGAAATTTTAGATGAAATTCAGAATCAAAAAAATAAGATAGCATTAATTCTTATTTCTGCAATATCACTGAATTTATGAGTTGCTAAAATTTCAGAATAATTTAAAATTCAGGTGTATCATAAAGGGCACACAAACATCGGTGAGGGAAGAGTGTGATGACATTGTTCTCCCCACAGTTGGATTATATCACACTCAAGATTCCAATATATAATGGAGGCAAAAAAAATAGGGAAACCAGTATTAGCAATAGTCAGCAAATAAATTAGTAAATAGATAAAACCGAATAAAGAGTTGGAATATGTTGTTAAGCTTTTAGAATTATTTGTGGAAATTAAGATGAAAACAACATGAGTAGATCAGAAAAATCACCTGTCTACATGATACATAAAATTTTTGAGAAAATGGAGAAAGTGTAGCAACAAAATTTAAAGCAAAGAGCAAATAATTACATCGAAAAAGCCTCCTTTGGCAGCAAAATGGGCAGCATGGTGTCTGTCATTGTCAAATACATTCACTTTGCCTCCTCTTTCCAATATTCCCCGAACTATTTCCAGCACTCCTTCTCTTGCTGCCTCCATTAAGGCAGTGCGACCTGTGGACTGGACATCAAAGAAATTCAACACTGTTTACACTTGCCATGTCAAATAATGTATTCAGTATAATTATGGTTTGAATCCGTCGACGTTAACTTTACAAGTTTAGTTCTTCATTTTCATTAGTTTCATATAACAAAGAGGAAACATTAAGTAAGTATATGAGTCAATGTCTAAAATGTAGAATTTTAAAATCAGAGTCAAGATCACTCTGTATGCTCCTGTGGGAACATTGTTCTAAACAAGTATATTTCTTGCAAAAAAAAAAGCAGAGCAAAAAGGGAAAAACAGGCATAATATATGCTAAAATTAGGTCTTTTTTTTTCTAATGAGAAGAAAATCTATGACAAAAAAGAAAAAAAAACAGTTGAGGAGAGGGGACAAAATGTATATAAGAGATAGCAGAACTATGTATTTTCTTTTTTTTTCTTTTATTATTCATATGTGCATACAAGGCTTGGTTGATTTCTCCCCCCTGTCCCCACCCCCTCCTTACCACCCACTCCACCCCTTTCTCCCCCACCAATACCAGCAGAAACTATTTGCCCTTATTCCTAATTTTGTTGTAGAGAGAGTATAAGCAATAACAGAAAGGGACAAGGGTTTTTGCTGGTTGAGATAAGGATAGCTATACAGGGCATTGACTCACATTGATTTCCTGTGTGTGTGTGTTACCTTCTAGGTTAATTCTTTTTGATCTAACCTTTTCTCTAGTACCTGTTCCCCTTTTCCTATTGGCCTCAGTTGCTTTTAAGGTATCTGCTTTAGTTTCTCTGCGTTAAGGGCAACAAATGCTAGCTAGTTTTTAGGTGTCTTACCTATCCTCACCCCTTCCTGTGTGCTCTCGCTTTTATCATGTGCTCATAGTCCAATCCCCTTGTTGTGTTTGCCCTTGATCTAATGTCCACATATGAGGGAGAACATACGATTTTTGGTCTTTTGGACCAGGCTAACCTCACTCAGAATGATGTTCTCCAATTCATTTTCTTATGTATATAAGAGATAGCAGAACTATGTATTTTCTTTCCAAGAAGATAAAATTTTATTAGGCATCAGTGATACCTTTTCTACTATTTCCTATAATGATATTTTGGTATTATGCCTAATACCAGTTTTCTAAACACAATTTGGAAATAGACTGAGAATCGTGACAATATAATGAAAGTCTTATTTTCAGTCATTTTGAATAAAAATGAAATGAGCGGTCTATGAGCTAACAGGATAATTTTACCATATTTAAATGCAAAAGTTATACTAATATGATGGTAATAGAATAAAGAAATATTTATAATCACAGGAATAGTCATACTGAGTTGATAGCATTTGGATTGGCTCCTTTTTCCAAAAATGTCAGGCACATATCTTTGATATCATGTGCTTCTTCACAAGCTCTAAGGAATACTGGTTTTCCTTCATAGGAAGAATTGTTGACATCTGCACCATGTTCCAAGGCAATCAGAGCACAACGATAATGCCGCTTAGTGGGTAAAATGCAGTAAAACAAAACACCTGCAGAAAAATAGAATTCTCATAAAGTATTTCATTTGTAGCCTATGCATATTTGAATCTGATGAGAAGGAAAAAAAGGTAATTTTAAAAATCCATTTTAACTAACAATGGCAGAGCAAAGGCACATCTGCCTTCGTGTCCCTTCTGAAATAAACTAAAACACCAAGACAGAAAAGTAAGGAAAAAGAAAAAAAAATCTTTGATAGAGCTAGAAACTACCTATATGTTAGTATTTAATTTCTCTGCTAACATATCAAAGTTACAACTAAATGTTATCTGAGTTGGTGTAGGGAAGAATTGGAGTGCTGATATGTGAGTTCTTGTCAACCATGGGGTTTACAGTTTATACCCCAAGTGTTCCTTCTTGGAATCTGCAGGGATGTGTGTGCTGGAGGGTTTCTGGTGGGTCCCTGGGTTCCCTCTAAACACATATACATGTCTGGAGCAAACTCTTGGTGTAACAGCAAATGAGACAAATGAGAGGGCAAGTAGCACTGCCATTATGGCAAATCATTTTGCCCAAAGGAGTGAGCTAAAATATTGGATGGCAAAAATGAATCTACTAAGAAATCAATAGAGGATGTGGATTAACAGAATCTAAAGCTAAACAGAACTAAAGCTAAATCACCTTAGGAGTTCTAGATACAGAACACTGGCGTTCATTAAAATGTAGGAACAGCATAACTTAACCAAAATTTGGAGGGAAGCAAGGGAAGAATAGATAATGTAAGTACCTGATTTTTTTTCACCTTTTACATTTGGAGACTGGAGTATTTAAAGAATATGAGGAGATAAATCAAGGGATACTTATTTATTATTTAAAAGTATAAAAAGAGTCATTGAAAGAACTAAATGGTTATAAATGAGCATAAAATCACATGGTAAAAGGGAGATACATAAGGTAAGAGGAGGGTTACTGTACTAATCCTATATTTCATAGTAAAGAATCAACAAATACAGCTGAAGGTGCTAACTCAACAGGCTTAAGAGTATAGAAAGCTATGAAGTTAACCATTAAGACAAGTAAAAACAAGCTATTAATTTTAGAAACTACAACTAGAAGGAAAATACACAGATCAAGCAAAATAAAACAAAGAATATACAGAACATGTAGGAAAATACTTTTATACATAATTACATATATTAGATATTATTGTATCTTCATAATATAAAATAAACGACAGTTCTGAAGCCAAACCTATTGCACGTCTAGATAAATACACTGTGGATAAATTCTATTCTATAGTTAAAATAAAAGCACAATTTATATCAAAATAAAAGCCTAAATACATTTCATATAAAAAGATACACATAAAATAAGGTTACTCAGAACACTTAAAAAAGGAAAGATAGGGCTGGGGAGGTAGCACTGTTGATAGAGTGCTTGTCTAGCACGTACAAGGCTGTGAGTTCAATATCCAGAAAGATATGAGAGAGAAAGAGAAAGAGAGGGAGAGAGAAGAAAAAAGATGAAGGATGGAGTTGAAAAAAAATTAAATGGCAAGACATAGAAAGCAAGAGCTGACCCAAACAATATGACAGTAATAAAAAAAAATAGATAAAGCTAAATTTAATTACAAAGGTCCTAAGGCACTAATGAAGTGGTTATTCTAAAGATCCAGGTAATTATTTAAATGTTGGCTTATCCTTTAGAAACAACATTAAGTGAGTCACATCAGTCACCAAGAAATAGGATGCTAATGACAGTAAGCAAAGCACTCTGGCAAGAGGCAGCCCAACTGATGAGAGGAAGAGACCAGGTGTCATAGGCAAGTCATGGGTTATGCTCAATCAACTAACAAGGTTATGTGTGAAACAAGTTTACATTTGTTTCAAGTTTTACTTTATACTTTCAGTTTCTTTCCATGTGATTTGTCTGATGGTTTTCTCATACATTCATTTTCTAGCATCTTGAAAGTTTTAATATTAATTTGAATGAGCATAAATATTAACTTATAGCTGTTGCATTTCTACAAATGTTTACTTCATCTTTCCAATTTTACCTTGATTTTTAAAAACTTTTAGTCTTAGTTATGTATGCTGTAAAATTCCACTTTCTATGTGTGCATGTATATGACATATCTCTGCTTCAAATTCAAGGAAGAAAACTTTTCTCCGTTACAGTACTTCTCAAAGTTGATTCTTCAAAATTCCAAGTATATTTGATGCCATATGAAAAAACTTTTATGGGCAAATAAGTATAAAAATGTTACTGTCTTTGGTCTAACAATGTGAAAGGAACATGTCTAAAGTTATTTGATGGTTACCTAATGAATTCAACAATAGAACCAATTTTCATGTAGCACTTCTTAAGATCCCAGTGATTCCATGGTCCATGGAATATACTTGGAGAAATGGCATTCTACAAAGCTTTAAGAGCCTTCTGTTTTTTTCAGGATTTAACATTGTAAAACCCAGTCAAAGTTTACACATCTGAAGTTTACATTGTTATATGGCTCTATTAAATATCTTTATTTTTTGCCCTCTACTCTTGTTTTAAGCAAGTCATCAATCAAATATCAACTCTGGAGAGAGTTACAAAAGTAGATTTCACTCATGCCAGAAAACATTAACACTGTAAAATGGGATTCATTTCTCCAGGATGGGATGGTGTTAATGGCTTTGCACTTGTAGCAGTTCTCTGGACAACTGACTACATCTATCAATTTATAGTCAGCCTGGTAGTAAATATTTTGGCGATTTTCACGAGACTGGGTCAACCCCTGCCTGAACTTCAAGTTATTTAGACAAAATGCCCCCAGACCATGATCTTGAGATGGAATTAGGGAGGGCCAGAGGACATGGGAGCATAACTATTTCACTTGAAATAATCCCGGAAACCCCATCTCTAAATGTTACAAGTTGTATGTCCAAACGTGTTAAAAATTGACTTTAGAAATTTGGAGTTAACACCAGAACCACCTTAGTTCTCTCAAGTTCCCAAACTCAAGTCTTTCTACATCAGCCTGCTACTGACAAGGTACAAAATCCATCTGGATTCCTAAGTCTGATATTACTCAAGGTTCTAAAATGCACAGAATCTCTGTTCTAAACAAGAGTTTATATTTTATAATGGATGACTATAGTGATATCAATGTGTGTTGTGTTGAAAAATTCTCCGAATTTAAATGGAACCACCAAACACAAATGAATCTAATTCTAATTTTCTTTTTAAATGAATGAACTTTTAGAACTGGTTTCCCTAAAATATACCTAAACTATTTTCAAATTATGAGGCAGCATCCAGCTTTTACATAAAACCGTGAGTAATTCTCTACTAAAATTAAAAGAAAAGTGCTTTTTATTGATTTCTGGCTACAGAGTAAATTGCATTCTGCTGGACAGAGTGTCGGGATTTTTACCTTTTCCTTCATTGTCAACTATGGTCATATCAGCCTTTGCTTTGGCTAGTATTTCCATTGACAATTCATGGCCCAGTTCCGCAGCCCTCATTGTTGGAGTACAGCCCATTTGGTCTTGCACATCAGGGTGAGCACCAAGCGCAAGGAGAAAGCTGACCATGTCAATGTCATTGGAAACTGAGGCTAAGTGCAGAGCAGTAAGTCCATCCACGGGTTCTGTGAAGTTGATTAGTTCTGGGTAGCCAAGTTTGGTCAGCTTCTCTATCTGCTTCTTGTCTTTGTTGCGAACACATTGAAGAACTTTGTAGATCTGTAAGTTCTCAAGTCTCCTGTTTGCTAAAGCCATGTTTGACCAGATTCTTAAAAATGTTTTCTGGACTGAAATGAAAACTACAAAAAGGAAAACAACACAAGGTTAATTTTATCATCGTTACTTTTTTATTAAATAACAAAATTTTAAACATCTAAGAAGAGAGGCTATTTTTAATGAAATGTTTTTATGTAATATAATTGACTTCAGAAAATAAGAGTTACATGTGAATTTAAAAAATATTATGGTTGCAGAAAGTTAAAGTATTTCTAAAAAATCTCCCATCATAACGGACACTAGTTTGTGAGATGATTTTCTTGTTATTTCATTTAGCCTCTTCTCCTTGCCACACCTTTAACCACCATAAACTGGTTCCCTTGCCTGCATTCTCTATGGCAATAAGGTGCACTGTTGACCAACTTGCTCCTTCAAATGTATCTCTCTAGTAAACCAAAATTTCCCTGTGGCCTTTTCTATTCTACAGCACTACCTCTACCCAACTACCCACTCTTCCTCAGTCTCCTGTTCAGGACTTTTTTATTTTTCCTTCTTGGTGGTATTAGGGTTTGAATTCAGGAACTCAAACTTGGTAGGTAAGCATTCTGCCACTTGAACTATGCCTAAAGTCCTCTTTATTTTATTTTTCAGATAGGGTCTGAGTTTGAGTTTTTGCCCAAGGCCAACCAGCCTCGGATCTGACTCCTCCTGAGTAGGTGGGATTGTGAAAGGCTGGGAGTATGACTCAAGTGGGAGAACACTTGTCTAGCAAGTGCCAAGGGCCTGAGTTCAAAACTCAGTATCACCAAAAAAGAAAACATAGGGAAAACACTTGAAGATATGGGTATAAGCAACAGCTTTCTGAATAGAACTTCAATTTCCCAGCAAATAAGAGCAAGTGTTGACAAGTGGAGTTGTTTCAAATCAAAAAGCTTTTGTAGAACAAAGGAAACAATCACCAGATCAGATTTCTTAAATCACCTTGACTTTCTCCATTTCTCCCCATTTCTGATAATGGCATCACCATCCATCCACCTACTGAGATGAAACACTGGAGTTATCCTTCATTCTTTCTTTCCTTCATAAACACCTCACTCTTAAAATTCACCAGTAAATCCTATCAGCTCTGCCTCTAGTATGTGTCCTAACATAAACCCCAATGCTACTGTCTGAGGTCAAATCACCACAGTATTCCAATTTGTCTCACTGCTTCCACAACAACGTCCTGTAGCCCACTCTTTAGACAACTACCATATATATATGCTTTTATTGAGTTTTTGCTGAATGCTTATCTCCATACTCAACCTATGGGTCCAATTTAACAGTGACCTGACAAGGGGAGTCATTTTCATCATACAGATAGCATAGATGTAAGTAATCTAAGAACATAAATAAAATTCCTACCAAAATTCTTTACTTGCTTTATCACATATCTGTCCATCTCTAGATGGATAAATGCATACTCACTTTTTGTTTTGATAAATGGATACACGTGTGTAATCCAAACTCCTATCAAGATATGGAACATTACTTTTAATCCAGAAAGTTCTCTAAAAGCACTTCAATAGTTTTCCATTGCAGTTAGAATAAATCAAACTGATCACTATGGTTTCCTAAAACACTTTCCCTACTCTCCTGACCTCACTTTACTCCAGCCTCCCCTGACTTAATGACCTTTGGCCACATTGGCTTTCTTTCCATTTATGAACAAAAGTTGGTTCCTGCCCCTGGAAGTTAGAACTTCTTGCTGCTTCTTCATGGGCATGCTCCTTAGCCATTGTATTTTGCTTCTCACCATTCGAATCACAGCTACCGTGTTATTTTTTCCAATGCATTTATTGTCTGGAAACACTTATTTACTTTGTCCATTGTGTCTCTCACATGAGAATATAGTCTTCAGAGAACACAAGCTTTATATTATAATTACCAAACTTCTCCATCACCTAGAACCTGACTCAAATAAAGCATTCAATAAATGCTTTCTCAATATATAATGAAAGTTAAATGAATTGAAAAGAAGGAATCAAAGAAAACTCCAAGGTTTCTGGTTTGAGCAACTCATCTGAAATGGGATGCTCATGATGGGTTCCAGATTGGTCAGATAGTGTAGATAACTAATCTTTGGCCATACTGGGTTAAATCCACAAGGCAATATATAACCTGGGAAGTCAGGAGAGCAATCTGAGCCTGGTCTGTTGGGAATTATGAGATCTTTAGTGGTTGCAAGGCAGCAGAGATGGAGAAGTCAAGGAGAACAACCACCCATGTCAAACACATGCTGTCGTTTTTCTCTTTTCACCTCATTCTTCTGCCTGCTTTTTCTTTGTTCTTCTCCCTTTGCTGCAGGAACATTAGTCATCACATGGCTGTGACTTCAGTGTCCTGCTTGCCGTCCACCCTTTCTCCCCTTCTTGTCACTTTATAATGTGCGGTGGACTAGGAAAGTAGAGAATATAGCACCTTAGCACCTTTGTATAAACAGGCTCCAAGTAAAGCCCTGGGGCTGCCTCAGAGTCATTCACTTGGCCTTTGTTGCATGGTAGTGTGACATTTATCTCAGCTGTTATTTATGGTATTTTAGGTGCAGTGGCATACTACAAACTACGTATATCATATGTGGGATACAATGCTCCTAATTAGCTTACTGACGGTACTGAATCAATGCCATCTCATTTGTGCGAATCAGACTCTTCAATATTTTCTCTGATACCATTTATTCCAAACCAAAAGTTGACAGCATGTTGCACTGTCCAGGCAAGCTACAATGCTGAATCCAGCGGTACTTATGGATTGTATCCCAACCAGCTAAAGCCCCACTGGAGAGAGAGCGGGGCCCTCTCCAGTGTCCTTCATATCAGCTGCTAGGACTTGACCAAAAGCTCACTCCTCCTGAAGGAAATACACAAGTCCTGCCCTCTAGCCTGAGTTCCTGTAAATGATATAGTATATATGAGTCTCAGGAGGGTTCCCAGATATATACACACGTTCAAGGTTCACCTTGGCATATCCCAACTAACCATCTACATTGCCAGTCTCAAAAGACAATGGAATAGAATAGAATGTCTTTGAATGTTTGGGTTCTGAACACTCTGAAATTACATGAAATCCTGTGGCTAAGTGTGTATTTTTCCTCTATGAGGACTCATAGGGCTCCTCAAATTCTGAAAAGGGTGTGTAAGACAGAGGCGATTCATTAGAAAGAGAAATGGAGGAAGACGAACTTGTTCAGTGTAGGATCAGAGGTGGAAATCGGTTGTGTTTCTCCCTCCCTTGAATCATTTACCCCAACTGGTTGCATAACCTGGACTTACCTAGTCTGTACTTCCTTTTTTTTCATCTATGAACCCACTTCATGGGGCCAGATGCAAAGGAAAGGAAATAATATTCAGCAATATCCCTCAGTACAAAAGACATGAATAAAGAAAACGTCTGTGAGTTTCAGTTCCACCCATAAGCCACAGTTTACATTTTGGGGGTTCTCTAGCCCTGTCTTTCATTTTAATTCTCAGAAAAATCCGGAAGAGATAAGGGTAGGTAAAGATTTATTTCATAGGAAAGGTTGGGCGGCAAGGTCCAAGGTGCCAACCTCACCTCTTAGTCGTTGGGGCGATCAGGAGTCGCGGATCTCCAATCACAGACGCCCCTGGGCCCTCGAGGACGCCCGGGGAAGCCCGGGCTCTTGTCCCCGGTCACCCAGCACGGGCCCCAGCTGCGACCTTGGGCTTTGGGAGCCCAGTTTGGGCGCCCAGAATTGAATGGGGTCCCTTTAGGCAGAGCAGGCGAGCTGGCACGCAGGCAGCAGGGAAGGGTGTGTGTGTCCATGGGCCCCGGGCCCGCGGAGGGCAAGCGCCAGGCCAGATGAGCTCAGGGGGCGGAGTGGGACAGCAGACCTGGAGGATTGTGAGCGGCAGTCACGTAAGTCTTGGCTCCAGGGCAACCTCCCCCGAGCGCGCCCGGCGGGACTCGCCTAGGCCCCGCCCACCGCCCGTTGCCCGGGTGACCAGGCCCCGCCAGCAGCCAGCATGCTCCCTGGGGGAACCACACAGAGAGATTGGATCCACAAATAGGAGCATATATCACGGATATAATTAAAGAATCTACAAATTCACCATAACGCCCCTCCTTCTTCCTCTATACTCTTTTTTGGAGGCAAATTCTGAAACTTTTGTTTACTTATGTGAATATAAAAACACATACAATTTAAAAATAGTATGGAAGAACTTCTAATTAAAAGCAATAGCTCCTCAAACCCACCTCTCTTGTCTGCCACTCAGAGGTTGTTTAAAAATATTTTAAGGATTATATATCACACAAAAAATACTATATACTGTATGAAAAGTACAAAAGAACACATAGCATACTATGGCTGAAGAAAAAGAAGGCTGAAAATAGAAGAAGAAGAAGAAGAAGAAGAAGAAGAAGAAGAAGAAGAAGAAGAAGAAGAAGAAGAAGAAGAAGAAGAAGAAGAAGAAGGAGAGAGAAAACTGTTTAAAACTGCTTGACCCCTGTGCATTTCTTCCCAATATTGTATCCTCCCTTCCTCTCTCCAGAGGTACCCTCTATTCTGAATTTTGTATTTAACAAATACAAATACACATCCCAGGGGATTTCAAAAATATGTGACTTCATAGGAATTTTTCCCTAAAAGAATGTGTATTTAGTATTGGGTGGTTTGAGAATTTATAAAAATGTGTGTTGTTTTTTGTGGCTTTATTCCTTTCAACATTTTATTTTTGGAGTATAACTCTGTTGATGTCTAATTATCTTAACAGCTATATGCTATTCCATTATATTACCATTCCATATCCATTTTAAATCAGTTCTGCTACTGATGGATGTTTAGTTTAGTTTCAGCATTTGCTATTAAAAGCAATGCTGCTAGGATCATGTTTGTACATTTTCTTCAGGAGCATAGGTTCATAAGCTTCCCTAGGGAAAAACTTCTGGTGCATAGATTATTTACAATAACAAGATAATAATAAGTTGTTTTGCAAGTATGTGAAACAATTTAGACTCCCATTAACAGTGTGTGTCTTAATTAAAATTCATTTTTGTGATGCATTAAACTTTTTGCCAATGTAGTGGGTCTAACCCACTACACGATTTTACTTTGCACGCTCTGTTTACTAATTACTATTCTTAAAGCTTGGTTCATTGGAGATATTCGAGTGTAAATTTATTGTCAAGCTATACTATTCACTCTCCAGGGATTACAAGTAAGTCTAATTATTTTAAGAGAACCAGGGCACAACATTTCTTCTCAGGTTAGACAGGATCTCACATTTGAGTTTGGTTTATTGACCTAGTGGGGTTCACCAATGATGAACAAATTACTCAGTTTCTTGGGTCTCAGTTTGTAAATCAAAAGAATATTACCTCCCCTTAAAAACCATAAGGAAAGTAGGCATAACAACGGAATGAGCTCCATCTTGGCTCTGGTGGACAAATATGGTTGATTCTTGAGAAATTCTTCTAAGAATGAAAAATTCCAACTCTGCATTACAGGTCATCAATTAATTTTTACACTGATAATTTTCCAGTGTAATTGTTCTTCATTTTTGGGACAAGGTTGTTGTCACAATTAGCCTTGTTTAATTCTAGAGAAAGTTCCTAAAGCTACTTGAGAATCTGGTAGATTTTAGAGGAAGCATATTTAGAAGACTAAAGGGAATAGATTAGTAACAAATATACTTGGGTTATATCAAAACTACTGGTGCAAATATTTTGAATGGAAGATGGGTAAACTCGGTGGTCAGTGGGCCTTTGTGATAAACAAAGTAGTCTGATTCACTCTCTTAACTTGGTTTGAGAGAAATTTTTTCACTGAAAGAGAAAGCCTTCTTAACTTGAAATTTACTGTTTTCCCTAAGCCTTTTGACAATAGAGCTGTCAGAACTAGGACAGCACAAAGGAAAAGTGGGAGAAAAGGATATTAAATATTCCTCCTGTTCAAAACAAATCTAACTGGGAGGTGGCAGAGAAGTATACACAATACCTACTAACATAAAGCATGATACCAAGTGATGCATTTGCTAAATTTTCTATTACTGAACTGACTCGTCCTTCTGTCTTTATCAGCTATTAAATAAAGATTTCATCTTTAAATTAGAGTTGTAAATTTAATACTTCTTACATAGGCCCAGACATTCTTCAAAATAAAAGTGATTCTGTAGATAAAAATGGTTCTATTGAATTTCCTCACACATCTGTATAAAAATTGTCATTAAAATTCAGAAATAAACAGCATTAGCTATTAGAAGCTTTTAAATTCTTATTTAGTGGACTGGAATACAAACTGTTCCATAACAAGAAGTATATAAATTAATTTAAATTAAAAAAAATTATACGTGAATTAGTAAGTGGTATGGTATGCCAGTGGGTGATGGCGTATTTAAATGGAAATAAGACATGTTGAGTTTTTAATGAGTATTTTCTTAAGACTGAGGTGAGGTTAGTAAAGTGTGTTACTGTTGTTTTCCTTTCACAACCATTTATAAAATCAATCTCTTATAAAGCCCATCTATATATTAATATTTTCCTTCCCAAATGAAATATATAAGGGTGCCTTTATGTTATGGGGAAAGCTGTTTATTGTTTTACTTTGAAGAGTGATTTAAAACTTTATTTATTGTATAAGTAAATGGTAAGTTGATAACAGATATTTTATTGTTTCTTAAAAGAGAAATGAAGACAAGTCCAATAATTTCAAAATGGGAACTAATTTGACAACAAAGAACACTACTAATACTTCCACTGGGAACTTACATAGACTCTTATATTGCAGCAATTACAAAAATACTTCTTGAATGAGTGAATGTTGAATAGCTATTTCTTTAGAATGTGAGCAATTTGTAGATAATTATATTCAGCTCAGGATCTGCTCTTCTGTCTATCTTAAAGCTCTGAGATGGATTTTTGTGAATCTGAAATAAATACCTCAGTTCTTTTGTTGCTGTGCATATTTTCACACTTAAAGTCTAGTTCTTTCTGAATTTTTATTTATTCCTAAGAATTTTTCTCCTTTTTTTCTGTGTTCTGGAATATGTAGAGCAAGAGTGAGATCATTTATTCTTTAAGGATGGACAGAATATACTAACTATGAAATTTCCTGGTCTTCGTTTTTAGTGATACACTTTTGATCACAATTCCCAACTCTTGCATAGGTATTGATCTATTCACGATTTCTACTTTAGAAAAAGATTGATTTTGATCATTTTTTGTTATGTGAACTTCTGTTTCCTCTAAGTTTTCAAATTTATTATAAACTTCATGTAGTTTACTTATAAATCTTTGAAACTTCTCAGGTGGTGAAGCTCTATCTCCTTTCTTTTTCCGAATTGTATAAACACAGAGACACTCAGATTCTTTTTTCTTTTATCTGAACAATGAAGGATTTTCTGTTTTATAGATCCTTTCAAAGAAGCAGCTGTTATTGTATCCTTTCGAACATATTTTGTTATTTCATTAAATTCAGCCATTTTTCCCTTACTAATTATCTCAGCAGCATTTCATTTGCTCTTTTTGTAATTTCTTAGGACAAAAAGTAGGTTTCTTTTTTTCTGTGACCTACTTTATTAAAGTAGTCCTTGAAGGGTATAAATTTTTCACTCTATCAACCAGTTTCAACTATGTCTCATAAATTTGCTTTTGAGTGTTTTTTTGAATTTCTTCCTAGAGAATTAGTAATATTAGTTGATGAACATAAGAAGCATTGTCACTGGGAAATTGTTGTATCCCATCAACTTTATTGTATTGTTCCATTTTTCTATGTACTTTATTGTTTAAATTTATTACATCAGGCTAACTCATAGAGTATAACATATCTTTTATAATAAGTATATTTTTTTGCCAAGCTCTTCTTGTATTTCTAGTAATTTGTACTTTCTTAACTGCCTTGCTGTTTATATGTGGATTTATGACACACTTGAGTCCTGACCTTTACTCGTTATTGTTATATAATATCTCTTCTCTTCTTAAGGAATCCATGGTTATGTGCTTGGGTGTTCAAGCCAGGTCCCTGGGCTTTTGTCTTATTGCCTGCTGATCATCTAAACTTGAATAAATTAAGTAACATTTTTGTGCCTATATGAAAAGAATAACAATATTGTGATGATTAAAAATGTCTACATATCCCTTGACTCTCACTTCAAAAAAACCCTGCAGTTAATTCCCCTCCCCTTTCATGTACTCTGGATTTACTCTCTTGTTTCTAATAAACAGAACACAGGGGAAAGGACAGTGTGTGACATCTGAGATGAGGTCATAAAAGACACTGTGGATTCTAAATCTCTTGAAATCTTTACTCTGGTAGAAGTCGCTGCCATATCATGAGGACCTCATGATGTCTCGTGATGCTGCCAGGTTCTTAAATTCCTGCACTCAAGTCTTAGTCTCCTGAGTATCAGGGATTCCAGGTTTTGTGCCATCATGCTGTCATCTCCCTACCTTGACATTTCTACCTGGATCATTTGTTTTGGCTAGAATTTTTTCCAAGATTTGGCTCAGCTGTGTACAGCTAGATTCTCTAAAGGCTAGATTCTTTGAATCCTTGAAAATCTGTAAATACTTTTATTTCACCCTGATAAGTAAATGGTATCTCACTTGTGCATTGAATTTCTGCAGTCAGTTCCTTTTCTTTAGTGCTGTGAATGTTTCCTTCTAGCTTCTCCCGCTTTCCTTCAGTGTGTGGGTACTCTGCTTTATCTAGCACATGGTAAGTCTGTCACCGATAGTTTTTCTTTCCTGCCTTGTATGGAAGTTGTTGTTCCTTCCTGAAAGCTTGTGACATTTTCCCCTTCATTCTTTCAATTTTGAAATATAAGCAAGATGTGTTAGGTATTTTATCAATTCTGTCTCTA